ATCAAAAAATGTTCCAAACGGTCCCTTTAGTTAAAAAATTCTCAAAAATAATCTCTCCAAACAAATCTTTAGAAAATTCTCTATCAAAAATGCTCTAAATGATCCTCTTAGTTAAAAAAATAATTTTTCCAAACAAACTCTTAAAAAATTTCTCAAAAAAATCTATTTAAAAGTTTCTTAAATAAAATCCCTATTAAATATTATTCAAATGGACTTTTAAAATTTCTTAGAAAATTATTTATAAAAATTATCTAAAAAATGAATTTAAATAAAAAATTTTAGTTGAAACGGATTATATATAATACAGTACATTATACAAAATAAAAATCTTACGTATTAAAATTTACATATCGGGTACCTGATATATGTAAGATAGATCAATGCCCGATATACAATATCAGTGACTAATAGCTTAGCTATCGGGTACCCGATATGTAAAAATACCTGATATTTATCCGATTAGCCACCGATATATAGGTACCCGATATGTACCCGATAGAATTGATTTTGACCAGTGTTACATATATGTAGTTCGCTTTCTTTACAGTGTAACGTGCTATAATTATGATTCAAATAAAAAATAGGTTTAGGATATATATACTTCAAATATCATATTTGTTTTAAACTAGTTTATTATTGGTCTTTTATTAGTTTGATATTGGTTTGATTCTGAACTCCTTTTTTCCATATTCGAAAAAAAAATATACATATGAATGATAATTTCGCTGATGGCCATCAGGAAAAAAAAAATCATAAAAAACTTTGCCTTCAAATAAATTCATATGGCAAATAAATATACGCTAAATGAAATAAATAATAAGACACCCTTGGTATCTGGCAATAAACTTGGAGATTCGCCATTTAATCGTTATCCATCTAGCCGAACTGAGCTTGAGAACTAACGTTTAAAACATGATCTAGATATCGCTTTAAGCTCAAGTATTCAGCTTGGCACTAGAAATAGTCTCTTGATAAAAAATAATGAGAGTTTTTCAGAGCGTGTATGCCAGCTTAAAGATGAAGCAAGAGAATTCAAAAATGAGATTAATCAAAAAGAGATTTCTCTTGCAAGTACTAAGAGCGAGATCGCTACAAAATTAAAAGAGATACAAGCTCTCCAATCAAGAATAGAGGAATTAGAGCAGGATGTTTCTTTGGTACAAAAGAGATTATCAGAGATGGATTTTCTTAAGCGTAAATCTGAACTGGAATACATAAAACTATCTGACGAAAATATTAGTTTAGAATTGGCAAATACAGAGTTAGAAGATACACTGGCCAAAAAAAAGGATAAATTAATGCGAGTGAGAGATGATTTACTTTCAGCACAAAAGGCAGTGATAGAGAAAGATTCCCTTCTTCAAGAAACTAATTCTCTTTTATTAGAGCATATTTCAAAAACATCCAGCGAATCTAAGCAAAATGAAGCGATTGGAGGTGATAAAGGACTGGAGAAAGGTAACGAAATCACTAGTCCTGAAATAACCTCAGAATCGCCTTATTCCTTATTTTTTCAGCATGCAATCATCTTCATAATAGTATTACTAATTATATACATCTTAAGGTGCGTATTCTCTCATCTATATTCATCTTACAATGAAGAAAAAAATATTCTGAACTATAAAATACCCTTAAATAGAAATCAAGATTATGCATTTCCAATCTGATATGCAGAAGAACCAAAAGATAGGACTACCTCCTATAAAACTTCGTCTTTTAGATATGGATGAAGTCACAAAGCATGAATCATCCCAAAATATTGGCCATCCGGCGATGACATAGCCTTTCAGCAAGTTGGTCACTGGAAAAAGTGGTTCAGGTAAGACTAATTTACTTAGAAACCTTGTTCTAGGTGATAAGGATGAATATGTGCAAGAAGGGGAGGAAGGTGGGTCTCGCTACATTAAATGTAATGATCTAATTGTTTGTGGGTATTATCCTGATGAGCCAAAATGGGGATATGTGAGGTATATATATAATATGATTGCAAAGGATCCAAAAGCGCCTTTCTATGAGGATATTAGTTTCAGGTACATTTCACCTGAAAGAATTCCTAGTACAAGAGCATTCTCACCTGAAAGAAGCACACTAATTATTTTTGAGGATCTGTGCTTAGCCCCCAAACATATACAAAATCGAATTAGCCAATTTTTTGGGAATGGACGTCATTAAAATGTTTCAAGTATATATGTAACCCAAAAATACCATAAAGTCCCTACATTCATTCGTGAGAATATCTCCCACCTAGTAATGTATAACGGTGGTGGTAGCCAACAAGATGTGTCCAAGATAGTTGGTCGTTATACTGATGATGTAAAAAATGCATCCATAGTTATTAATAGCTACCTTCGAAGAGGTGAATTTATTGTATTTGATCTCACTAGGCCGGAAGATGATCCCCTTGCAATCCGCCTAAGGTTTGACACTCCACTAAATCTGCAGAAGGAGATAGAAGCTAGGCAAAAGCGTAAGGAAAAAAGCTCCTTAGCTAATAAATAGAATCTGACTTTATAGATGCTAGCTTTTTTTCGTAATTATAAAAATTGGAATGGAAGAGCGTCAAGCTGAAAGACCGGTTATTTATATCAATCCTCAAAAAGCGCGAGAGTTAGACCAAATCATAGCAAAACAAACACCTACAATTAATATCGATCCCCAAAAAGCTCATAATTTAGACCGGCATTTTGCTTTGCAAAAACTATATTATCGTCCTGAAGGTCTGTATCAAAATGTTAAGGGATTGTGGGATACTTGTAAAAAAGCTGGCTACAGCTTTCCATTTATTGATGTAAAAAAATGGCTTGAGAATCAAACAATGTATCAAATTTTTCGTCCTTCACCAAAGCATATACCTTATGCCAGTTACTCTAAAATTACGAAGCCAAATACTGTGCACCAATGTGATTTAATCGAAATACCATATGATGAAGATGTGGATACAAATTTACTAGATGATGGCCCAATATATTACTATGTACTATTGGTTATAGACTACGCGACTAGATATAAAGATTTCGTTTTTTAACATTAAAGAGCAGTGAGGAAGTTGCGGAAGCATTTAAGAGTATATATGATAATCCTGATAAACCTTTTAACTGGCCTCGAAAAATACAATGTGATAAGGGTACTGAGTTTATGGGATACGTGACTTTATTAATGGATGAACATGGCGTTGAGATCCAAAGAATTATAGCATGTTTCAGGCATATAAGTTTCGCAATGATCGATCATTATGCTGGATTATTTGAATATAGAGTTTTTAAAAATCAGTATTTAATAGAGTTTCTCCTACCTACTGGCAAGCACTGTAGAGAATGTGAGCGGTTTGCAAGAAAAATTGTTGATAATATGAATGATAGTCCAACTCGATTGATTGAGATGAGTCCTAATGACATCACAAAACTTGAGCAGATATATTCCAAACTATCAGTAAAATATAATCGTCCAATAGGTGTTGATGAACCACAACTACCAAAGGGTACTACTATCCGATTTTTGCTCGCTCCTGAAGAATGGAAAAATGATCCTTTTGAACAACGCAGAATAACAAATCCGATATGGTCTCCCAGTATGCATAAGATCCAGAGAATTGTTGTTGGGAGAAACCCTCCAATGCTTGTTTTATATTATTTAGATGATTTAGGACCTCAGCGTCCCTTTGTAAGAGAACAATTAATGCATATTAAAGAAGAGCATATGTTGCCTTTTAGGTGGGTATTAGGAGATAACCAAATGCGTATAAGGTGCTCCTTATAAAAGTTTCTAAGTCTACTACGCAGTAGGGTATAGTTATAAGAATTACTCCTTCCCTATAGCATAGCGCCCTCTTTTCATCACGCCAGATTTGTGCGTCTAGATTCATCTGCCTTTACGGGTGAAAAAAAGGGACAATTTGGTAATATTGGCTACCACTATATTCAAAGGCCAAGCCTAATTCTTCATTATATCCATCTAAATGTAATCCCTCCAAGAATTTAGGTTTTCAGAGTGGAAATTTTTTATTTAATAAATCTTCGAAAATATAATGGCATGTTCTTTTCGGTACATTAGGGCAAATATTACACCACCTATAACTTTGCTTCATATTTTTATATGGCGCCTCCCATTGATGATTTTTCTTACACACCCATAAATGCTTTACTAAAAATGGCCAATTTTTTGAAATGATTTTGTAATAATTTTAAAATACTATAAAAATACATTTAATACATCAAAATGTTTTTATTATATTTTTGCTATTATTTTGTAATTGTATTGTATCTAGGTCTATAAAAATAACTCAAAATAATATCACAATAATTTTTTAATGTTTTTGTTATTATTTTATTATTATAATATAATTAACTTTAATATTATTTTAATATTTTAATCTCAAAAATACCTTAAATATATCTTGATATATTTTAAAAATTTTACAAAATAATTGCACAATTGTTTTGAAAGCCATTGTATCTAGGTCTATAAAAATATTTCAAAAAATTGGTCATTTTTAGTAAAGTATGTATTAGGACTAACTTAAGCTAAGCATCTTTCTTCATGCCTCTGGGCATATGCCAGAGCTTTAATGTCAATTTCGTCTTGCATTTTATAGATGTAATAGAATATCACATACAGAAATTTGTGGTAGTGATCACCAGCTTCGAACTAGTTTGGTTAGAAGAATCGATCTGAATATATGCAAATCCAGAAAAGTAAAATTAAACTTGGTCACTACTATTGCATAAGTAAAAAATAAGTATTATCAGTATTCTTAGCGGGAAGTGGCAATTTCAGCTAAAAGTACTTGATAATACAGCTCAACAATTTTGTCTATATATTCGCTCTTTTTATGTATTATTGATATCATCAAGTAAATCGATATCTTTTAACAATTTTTTCGTCTGTTTATAAAGATTTTGCCATTGTACATGAAATTTATTTCGTAAAACAGAAGACTTAATAAGACAGGGAAGAATTCTTGTAAAATTATTTATATGGGATTTGATTACTGCATGAACATTTGCAATTTCTTCTCCTGCTGTAATCCAATCATAATATGGAGTATAAAGAACTGTATGAATACGGGTTATTTCTTGTTTATTCCAGTCTAACCGATATTTTATAAAATCAAGATCTTCACGAATTTCCCTTTCTTTTTGCTTTAAAATAACTCGAAATGCTTCAAAATTCTATTGATGATTTATAGTAAGACAGGAATATAGTATATCTTTAATCTTGAGATTACTAAAAATTAATTCAAGCAGTTCGGAACAAACAAGTGGGCTAGGGCTGGGCTTTTTTTGTGCAAGAAGCATGGTGTATATGCAAGAAAGCAGTATAAAATAACAGAGAAACTTGGAAAGTTTAAAATAAAAATTTTATATAATTTTGAGCGAATATGCTTGCTAGTAAAATACTGGGTTAGTGGTAATACCCAGCGCCAAGCCAAGAGAAAGTAAAAGATGTGGTAGTACCCCAAAATGATCGATGTGGTAGTACTACAAAGTGGTCGATGTGGTAGTATCCTAAAGTATCCCAGAGTAGTAACTATACGAGAAAGGGTTCTAGAAAGGCAGAAGCGAAAAATAAAATATAAAATTGGTAGTACCCCAAGTTAGAATAATATATAGGAAAGAGAAATAAGAAATTACAACTTGGGGTACTACCGCCGATAGGCAGGAAAGGGGGTCGGGAAGGCAGAAAGTCTCAGGAGAATATACGAAAAAAGGTATGAAAGCAATATAGTCTGAACTAATTCGACACTTCGCATGTGCCTCACTCGGCAATCAAAAAGGTCATACAAGGCAGAATTGCAAGAATGAGCACAACACTAACACTTCGCATATGCCTCATCCCCGGCATTCAAGAAATGGCAATTTGAGAGGGAAAATATATGGATTGCAAGTTCGGCATTTCGTGCCTCAACCTGGCAATCAAATGGAAACATAAAAGTGGGATTTCAAGTAAATTCAGCACTAATTCCTGGTAATTACTACATAGGCTGATCTTGGTACTTCTGATTCTTCAACCATCTGATCCTTCAGACAGAACCTTGAAAGTAGTGGGAATATGACGGAGAAGTGGTGGGAAGGTTCTGAGAACGCACCTCGCACATGTTTTTTTTTGTGCAGTAAATTAACAATAATTTTGGCCAAAACTTTGGACAATAACTCGGCATCCAAGAAGTGATCTTAAACTGGCAAACTAATAGAAACACTCTGATTCCCTGCCAGTTCCCTGCCAGTTCCATGATGATTCCATGATACTACCATAGCACTATCATGTCACCAAGCTGGAACCTAAAATCACATGCCCAAAAGATCGACCAGAAATTATGCTATAATGCCAGCCAAAATCTGATCCGCAAATTTACTACGCCACCCGACTGCAACATGATTTTTTGCAATCAATACTGGCCTAGCACCTTGGCAATAAAAAGGCCACAGAGCAATGAAAACAAGCGGATAGTTAGAAGGAAATAAAAAGAGGACAGAGCAATAAAATCAAGTGGATAGCAATAAAGCAATAATAAGACCACAGAACACTAAAAACAGTAACTAGGTAACATTATACTCATAACTAGAAAACATTATACTCATAACTAGATAACATTATAGCGCAACTAGTTAATGCTCTTATAAGAGCATTAACTAGTACTAACGTATACCAACCAACTGGTATGTGCAACCTGACCAAATATTACTACAACTGCCATTTTAGTTTGACCTCAGGATAGTCCCTATCCATCAACGAAATACTAACTGGCTAGCTATAACTCCCTACTCATCCTTTATCCATTCTAGAGGCAAGACAAACTCAAATTTATATGCCACCTTGGCATGTCTTAGTAATGGAGGACTTTTGGTGTCAGATGTAATGGTAATCATCTAGAAACCCTTCTGTACTAACATTCACACTTCAGAACTAAACTAAGGCTCACTTAAGGCCACTATAGCCCCACAATTCCTTAGCCCCAAGGTACAGTTATAAATCTCCCAATGGTATAGTAGTAACTATTGAGACAGAGAGAACATGAGATAGTACAGACTCATTTGTTTGAGATTAATCCTAGTGATGCCCTACCACCCAAGTTGCCACCCGGTACCCGCCTAGTGGAGAGTTGAACCCCATACCTCACCTAGTACACCTGTCTGTTCAGGAATATCCTAGTTGACCTAAACCTATTAGAAGGTAAACTACCACAAAGTTATTGCACTTAGAATTTTACCATCTATAAGAACCATCTAGCCACATTGGACCCCAAGTGGTATCATTTGAGTGACCACCTGGACAGGAAATTACCCCCAAGGTATACAAGCAGTGACCTCATGAACAGGACTCTGAACATCCCAATGACCTCATAGGGAACGTTAGAAGGACACCATGATCCTTTGTTGAAATGTATGGCCTAACTGTACACACTAATTTATCATAGTGCAGTCCAACTACCTAATCTCTGTATCTTTATGCTATTGGTGGTAGCGTCCACAGTAAAATTTTTTTTATTTCCATGATCATGGGAATCGAACCTGCAACCTCACCATACTCAGGCTTAATGAGGGTCTCAGTAACCAACTACTGAGATAGGGTGATTAACCCTACATATGGGCTGATTTGTCTACTCTGCATTAAAAAGAGTTATTGAATTGATTTTCACAATTTTTGTTACTCAAAATTGTTTTATAATACCAAAAAATCATCTGATTGATGATCACTTGACTAAATAATAAGTTGAACAAAAATTTACATTTGCGAAACTTAAATTATTAAATGTAAAAAAGGTGTGAAAAAATCCATTTCATTAATAAAAAACCTATTTCTTATATATATGGAATTTTTAACATATATTATTAAAAAGTAAGTATATTTTAATAAAATATAAAGTAAAATAAAAATTTATATAGTCTTAGTAGCTATAAATGTTTATAAAAGTATAATAAAAATATAATATAAAAAATGGTATAATAATAGATATTTTCAAACAATAAAAATAATTATTTTATGTCAGAATTTGTATTACCATCTTTAAACGCAAATATATCAAGATTCACTGATCCGTTTTCTATAATTTTAGGCTCGTTGGAAAGCCCTTGTTCTGGACTTTATAGGCGAAAAAAGAGCTCACCGATTGAATCATTAGATCCAGAGATATTTACGTTTAAAGTTGAGGTATGAACTTTTTAACATGCTTAAATGCAAATATCTTGGAATCCACTGATCCATTTTTTATAAATTTAGGCTTTTGGGAAAGCCTTTGATCTGGTCTATATGAACGAAAAAAGAGCTTGCCAATTGGATCACTGGATCTGGAGATATTTACGTTTTAAGTTGAGATATAAATTTTTAACATATATAGTAAGTGCTAAGAATTATATTAAGAATAAATGTATTTGTAATAGCCTGTTACATATCTTATTTGTAACATCCTTTTTTTAATTTTTTTTAATAATAAATTTAGTATGTAATTTACAAATAAAATTTTTATATGCAAAATTTAATTTGAAAAACTTTTACTTAATGTACTTAAGACAGTTTCATAGACAAAATTTCAAGTTATAAGCAGTTTCTTGAAATTTTTTAAAAAATTCTTTTGTCTTGATTACATGACTGATCTTTTTGTTTTTGTTTACATTTCGCCTGATCTTAAATTTTAATTGGATAAAATTGGAGATTGTTATAAATAAGACGCGTAATAGGCTGTTACAATTAGATTTATTCTTATTGTTCGGAGCGTAGTGAAGGACTATATAATTTTACGAAGGTCGATGACAATTAGTGTCACGTGGCAATTTCCGGTTGTCCGCACGCGTTATTTCTAATTGGTCCGCACAGAATGTGTATTGAAATTTCATGCTACATCAAAAATAAACAAGTAAAAAAGTTTATGATTACCTTTTTTTTTAGATTTCGGCTAGTAAGTATATTTTTCTTTTAAACGACTTTCTTATTTTTTTCCTAGGGTTTCTGGATTTCTTGTACATACCGGACTGGTGAGTTGTTTTTTATTTATTTTGCTTTAAAGAAACGTTTTTAGCATTTTGTTTTTATTTTCTTTTATCTAGGAACACAGGTTTTTTGTACATGCCAGACTTTTAAAGGTAAATTGTAAAGGCTTTTCTTACTTGTTTAACCTTAAAGAAACATTTCTAACGTTTCATTTTTCATTTTTATTTTTTTAGGGATGCCAGATTTTTTGTACAAATTAAATTTTTAAAGATATTTGGATTTTTGTACAAATCTTTCGCTCCAGACTTACAACGGTTTCTGTTTCCTAGTATTAATTTAAAAGAAATATTTACCAAATTATAGTATAATAACATTAAATAAAAATTTTTTAATATTCATTTCCAATTTACTGTATATTATATAGTATTTTGTATAATAAAAATGTAATAAAATTAATATTTTAATTAAAGGTAAACAAATCAGCCCATATGTTAAATATACAGTTCACCCTCTCTATAGTGAATTTTTATATAGTGAATAACTTGCTATAATGAAGAAAAGTTTAGGTACAGATTTTTTATATATATAATAAAATGACCCTCAGTATAGTGAATTTCTCATTATACCGAATTTTAATCTCCAGCCCATAGGATTTACTATAGTGAGAGTGAACTGTAAATAAGACTATTTCTATTTGTACACTACATGTGTAAACACAGGTCACGTGATTATTATCATTTTCTGGTGATCTGCATAAAAACTTCCTATTTTGGAATATTGTATAACGTATTTTCATTTTTACTGAGAAACAAAATTGCCTTTTTGGATTGTGTAATATTACTCTAATTTTCAAAATTGGAAATTACAGTAATTTTTGGCTGGAATTATTGGAATTATAAAATTTGGCCGAAATTATGGTGTGTGACATATAATATGTGACAAATAAGGTTTTTCTACCGAAAAAATTCAAGTACCTAGAATAAATAGTAAAAATTGAAAGCTATACGGGTGTGACATAAGTGACAAATTATAGTCACGTGATACATGTTTCGCATACTAGTGTATATTAAGAAAAGGAATTTGACTTTTATGCGGGATGCATAAATTGCATCCCATGCATAGTAATTCTGATATACATGGGTATTTAAATTATTTAATAAATACATCATAATTGTCTCATGCGCAGCTTTTTTTGATATGCATCTAAATTTAGACTTTTTTATTTTACATGATCACGTGTTTAAATTATATTATACTTTTTTTTCCCAACGATTATCATCTTTCCTCTTCCCTCTCTTCCTCTCTTCCTATCTTCCCTCTTCTTCTCTAATCTCTCCTCCCAACCTCTTTCTTTCACTTATAAATTTTATTACAACTAAAATGAGTGACTCCGAATTTATGTCAAGCGATGATGAAATTTTCGATGAGGCTTTTGATAATGATTTTATTGAAAATATTCTTAACGACAGTGACTCTGATGGTGAAGATAATGGTGGTTCCTCCAATGAAACTCTGAAATTGGAAGTATGGTTTTTCTCACCTGGAAGATTGCATTTAACCACATCAAGCAATGGGCTCATCAACAGGGCTTTAGCATACGCAAAGGAAGATCAGAAAAAATAGAATCTAAATTAAGAAAATAAACAATTGTATGTTTTTGTGAAGGAGTTTATAATAATCAATCAAAAAAAACTAACAAACCATCAAAAACACATCGCACAAACTGCAAATAGCATGTTAATCTTTCTCGGCCAACAAAAAATAACTAAAACTCTATGATTTTCATTACTACAATTGTTGATAAACATTCTAGACACAGTTTGGATCTTTGTGCACATCGATTTGAAGCAGATAAAGCTTTTACAAAACTAATGTTAGATGATATTGAATGGATATATGTGCATGGTCATTTAAAGCTATTAGCAATTAAATGAATGTTAAAGGCTAAATATAAACGTAAAGTTTATAACAAGGATCTTTATAAAATAATTTACAAATACCATCGCAATATTGATCAATTAGGCAATGATGTTTCACAACTTTTTGAGTATCTTGAAAAATGTAAGGAAGATGATCCACATTAGTGCTCTACATAAGCCAAGCCAGCTCGTGAGCTTTTAAGCTGAGCCAAGCCAAGCCAAACCAAGCTGCAGTTATATCTTGGCTTGGTGCTGGCTTAGCTCAATTTATTGTAAATTAAAACTAAAGTTTCAAAACGCGATAACTTCGCCAATATTGCTCCAAATTTAATGAATTTACTACCATTTGATTCCTCTTGATGTGACGAATCTAATGGTAGTAAAATCATTAAATTTGGAGCAATATTGGCGAAGTTATCACGTTTTGAAATTTTAGTTATAATAAATTTTATATGATTTTGAAAATGAGCTAGCTTGTGAGCTTTTGGAACAAGCCAAGCTGAGCCAAACTGAGCTAGCCCTTGGCTCGGCTCAAGCTGGCTCATGTAGAGGCTTAATCCACATTGGATAATTTATAAAGATTGGGACCGTAAAACCAACATACTGACGAAGCTTTTTTGGATGAATCCTGATCAATTAGAAACTTGGTATCGCTATAATGATGTAATTCTTAATGATAATACTTCAAAAACAAATCGTTATGAAATGTCTCTTTCTTTTTTTGTAGCAATAGACAATAGTATGAAATCTCGAATTGTAGCATAAGCATTGATAGATCGTGAAACAAAGGATGCGTACACTTGAGTTTTGCAATGTACAATTGATGTAACAGGAATTATTCCAAAAGTATTCATAACAGATGCTGATCCTGGTATGGATCTAGCTATTAGGTTAAAATATTCATCCACATTTCCTATTCATTGTATCTGGCATATTGGACAGAATTTACCTTTACGTCTTAAGTCAAAGCTTGGTGGTTTATTTGACCAATTTAAAAAAGATTTTTATAAATGTAGGAATAGTTTGAAACAAGAAATATTTGAACATCGTTGGGCAAATTTACTTATTAACTATCCAAATGCTGCTAATTATCTTGAAAAGTTTCTTTATCCTTCTAAATGTTCTTAGGCTCGAGCATTTAGTGTCAAGATTTTTACAATAGATATTAAAACAACATCACGTTGTGAATCTGTTAATGCCACATTTAAAAATCTCTTACAAAATTCAAATAATACACTTGTAGATATATTTTTTACTATTGAAGAGCGGTTAGAAGAAGAGCAAGATAATACTGATTAATATTTAAATTGGCAGAACTCTCTTACAACAATTCAATCCAGTACAATAGCTTCTAATACTTTTACTGATGTAATTAACAAACTCAAGGATTTTACAACTCCTTCAATTCAAAAAATTCATAATAATGAAATGGAATTGGCATTTAGTTATGATGCTAGACCTTTGGATAAATCTTATATTAATAATAAAGATTCTCATGTATGATGTTAATTATTAAGTTCATTTATTTTCAAATTGATATGTAACAAATTTTAACTCTTTTTTAGGATTTATCATTTGCTAATGATTTTATTGAAAAACAAGAAGTACAGCAACTTTCCTTTCAGCAACTTTTACTATCATATGACCAGAAAGAAATTAAAAGTCTTTGGGGCATTAGCTATTTAATCTCTTCTGATACACACCATTTAGTCATTTTATTAGATAATGGGATGTATAAATGTTCATGTATGTCTCTGATTAATCGTGGTACTGTTTGTAGGCATTATTTCTGTGTAATGTTACAAACATCTCAAGCTCAATTTCATATTGGATTCCTTAATCCGCGGTGGTTTGTTGAAACTTCTCCAGATCTTAGGAGTCGTCCATTCTGTCCTGCATCGAAGTTTAAAATGGATTAAGTTATTACATATTTAGAATCTAATAATCCTCCTAATTTTTTTCATTCAATAAATGAAAATATTTTGAATAGAAATAATCCGTATGTCACTCTTAGTAAGCAAAAGTTATATTATATGAATATTAAAGGTTTGTCTAAACAAGCAAGTTGTATTACTTGCAAAACTTGTGATGGATCTTTTGTTACATTACTTGAGGATTATATTACCAAGAAAAATCATGAAGCATTGGAGTTGGCGCAACTTGGATCATTAAACAATCGATCTTAAGATTTGATTAATTTAGAGCCTGATCAGGAAAATGCCGAACAACTTGGAAATCCTATAATTCAGCGGCCTAAGGGAAGACCTTTGGGAGTTGCAAGGTACAAAAATCCTTTAGAGGAATCATCTAAACCTAACGAAGGTACCTGTAGAAGAAAAATCAACAAAATAAATGTAGTTTGTGTAATAATGTTGGACATAATCGTACAACTTGTCCTTCAAATCCAAATGGAAAGAAAAGGAAAACATTATTGTAATTTAATGGCTCAAATCACTACTGTAATTCAAGCTGCTGCACAGCTCCCTTCGGTCGCCTGTTTGCATTTTAATAGTATTTTAATAGTATGAGCTTATCTTTGATACTTTTTCGGCATATAATTTAATTAATAGAAAAAATAATTTTTTTATGTAATAGAAGGAATGCGTACAGAAATACATATCATTATTTTATTTTTAGAAAATTTATTTAAATTTTTTTACCAGTGCGTAAAATATTCAAAAATCGAAAATTTTATATATAATATATGCACCCTACAATTTATGCAGGTGCGTAGAAAATAAAAACCTATTAAGAAATTATCTTAATTATATATACTCTTGTAATGTATTGTATTGTATATTGTAATCAACATAATGTATTGTGACCACGTGACAAATTAACGGTGGCTGTGGCGCATGCGCCATGGACATGGCACACAAAAAACAAATGCTATTCCGCTTATTTTTTGATGATTCTTCATCATGTGTAGAGCTCCGAATGGGTCAGGTCAGGTCAGGTTAATTGATAAACCTGACCTGAAATTTTTTTTCAGGTCAGGTCAGGTCAGGTTATATCAGGTTGTCTGTTTGACCTGACCTGACCTG